ATGGAGGCGATATTATGAAGGTTCGATTACTGATTTTGCTCCACCATATCAAACTGAATTCACAACTGGTGATCAACAAAACTATGGTTATGGACAACCGGGTCCGGAAGGTGGCACTGGTTAGTTTTTATTTTTTCTTACTAGTTCATTCCAGAAAAAATATCTGCATTATATAGAAACTTTTAGAATAAACTTCTGGAATTTAGCTTTGAAATCAGACAAATAGTTGTGAAAAAGAATCCTTCATTAATCAGTGTTATCAATAACAACAACTGCAGTTTTAGCTTTAAGGTTTTTTTTTGTTCAGTAAAAATTTTTTAAATTTTGTCAAGCAGAAATCTGATTTATAGGTGTTGTAGCGGATTCATATCAGAATGCTCCATTTGTTGCCATAAATAATATTGGTTCACCGGTCGATATGAAACAGTTTCAACAAGGCTACTGATTTACAGTTTAATTTTACGTCTTTTTTTTTGCATAAACGATTTTTTTTTTATTTGATGTAGTATTATTTATTAATTTATTACCTTTATTATTAGAAAATAATATTCTATTGCCGTTAATGTAAGCGAAGTTTAAGCTTTTTGAGAGTATGTAGTTGAATGTTTTTTTTTTTGCTACTGTTGTTAGATTTGAATCAGAAATGCCGTATCAATTGTTGCAAATAGTGCTAACAGTTAAAAGTAATAATAATTAGGCAAACCAAAAAAAAAAAAGTAATAATCATAAGAACTTTTTTTTTAAAAACACTTCTTTCTTTCTTTTTTAATTTTATAAAATTATATGCAATAATTAATACAGTTGCCAATTTTCACTTAATAAATTTGTTCTTTTTTTTTTTACAGTTGCATTAAATTTTAAGGTGATATTTATTTCATATTTATATATATATATTTATTTATTTATTTTTTCTGTTAGTCAATTTAACTGCTGTGTACCTTACTGATATTTTTTCATTTCAATACTGTTTCGTATTCCATTCATAATAATCGGTTATTTGATCTCAAACTTTTACCATTGCTTTTTGTTTTTCTTATTATTTATTACATTTATTACTTAAATTATACATATTTATTATATTTATTTACAAAAAAAA